CAATTGCAAAACCCCCGAATGTATGTTTACACAGCACTTTTCTTTGAGATGCTCACAATGCTTAATAATCATGATCCTGTAACAATCTTGAGTTTTCCTTGGAGGTGAGGCAGATGTCCTCCTGGCAAACCTAGTTTCTGGGAATCTTCATACCTGTCAACATTGCAAAGGAAACTGGGAGTCAAGAGATCTCCAGTTAGATATCCTAGTCTGGAGAACCAAAATGCTGGGGAGACTTTGAATCCACATGTGGGATCTGGATTATTTGTTTCAAAAATTCCACCCTACTTTCATAGGAAGGACTGGTTTTGGGTTTGTTTGTTTATTTTCAAGTGAAAATGGGCCGAAAATACATAGTTATTTCAAAGGGGTTCCCAAGAAAGTGGCAATGATGGGAATATTTGCACCATGGAAATTGGCAAATGCTACCAGGGCTCTTCTGCCTTCCCATTCTTGGTCCCAATCAATTTTAAACATTTACCAGTATACCAAGATCTAAAATCCTTCCTTTTTCAACTATATATCATTTCAGGTATAGATCATATGGAGCTGTTTTTTTCTTTTTTTTCTCTTCATTACATCTATTTACTTTTTATATTTCAGAGATTCCATATTGTTTCTGATCCATGCAGGCTTACCATTATTTTTCTCTAGTGTGATAATGGATTTATTGGATCATTAGCTTTTACCTTTTTCCTATAATTTCTAGGGATTGGCGGCATGTGTTTGGTCTGTCTATTTTATTTTATTTTATTTTATTTATTTTTTTATTTAAAGATTTTTATTTATTTTTTGACAGAGAGAGAGACAGCGAGAGAGGGAACACAAACAGGGGGAGCCGGAGAGGGAGAAGCAGGCTTCCCGCCGAGCAGGGAGCCCAATGCGGGGCTTGATCCCAGGACCCCGGGATCATGACCTGAGCCGAAGGCAGATGCCTAACGACTGAGCCACCCAGGCGCCCCTTGGTCTGTCTTTTTAAACTATAAGCATTGGTCTGTCTTTTTAAACTATAAGCATTACCACTATTCTTAATCTTTAATAATCTGCTTATTAAAATATTCTATTTCTAAATTAAAGTTTGTTTATTCACTTTGTTATACAGATCCCTAAATTTAACCAAGAGATTTCAAATCTTATGTTATTAGCATTTTGGGAACAAGGCTGTCCAGTGAGCTAAATTCTCCAATGTAATCCTATTGAAATTTCAATGGAAATGTCATTGCAACTTTTATTTCCTGTTCTTGCATGCTGAATTAACCAGCAAATTGTTCTAAAAATGCTTTTTGATGTTCAAGTTTTATTGGCTGCTCTTCTAAACCTTTAAAACAACTTCCCAGAGCCTCCTCAACTCTAAGTGAGAAGGAATAGCCTTCTAAAAATAAATAATGGTAGTCACTCTGCAGATGCACATTTTAAACTTGCCAACTTTCCAGGTTCCAAAGCTTTTCAAATTTGGAAAACAATGCTTTGAGTTTAAAATATTTAAATGTCTTTGAAAGAGGAGGAGAAAGACAATGGGGGGAAGGAAAGACAGCAAAGTGAAGGCCAAAGCTATGAAAAAGGCAAAAGGCAACTGAAAGTAGATCATAGCCTGGGAGATTTGAAGAGCAGAGGAATCATTTAAATGTAGGGTTTTCTGAGCTTTTTTGAGGCTGAATTGTAACTATTAAGTTGTATAAAAGATTGAGAATATGGATGAATTTCCCTTATTTTAAGAGGGAAAACTTACCAGTGTACCATTAGAAGGTATTGTTTAAAAACACTTACACTAAGTCGAAATGCCTTTCAATCGGAGGGGGAGACAAACCATGAGAGACTATGGACTCCAAGAAACAAACTGAGGGTTTTATAGGGGAATGGGGTGGGAGGATGGGTTAGCCTGGTGATGGGTATTAAAGAGGGCACGTTCTGCATGGAGCATTGGGTGTTATATGCAAACAATGAATCATGGATCACTACATCACAAACTAATGATGTAATGTATGGTGCTTAACCTAATTAAAAAAAAAAAAGATTTCTAGGCTCAGAGAACTATGCATTCAGGATCAAATAAATGCATTTTGTGATTTCAAGCATTTATAAAAACCTCTGAATTTACCAAATACATAGAAATTGGTCTGATGTTTAGACATAGTTTTGTATGTAATATAAATCCAAAATTATCCCTCACTTCAAGCAAAATTCCCATGGGCCTTATGTCTTTGGGAACATAAGCTACTGCCCATTTACATTAAAGTTGGGCTTTGTGATGTCCCTCATGTATAGTTTAACATTCTTGTTAACATTATTTTATAATATAGACATTTTGTGTTTCAATATCTGAGATCTGTATACAAAGAATGTTCAGAGGATTTATTAGCATTATCTTTTCCTGCAACAAGGCTGGGGTTGCCATATGCATCTCTGTTTACATGGAGGACATGAGACCATTTAAGTTTTCCCTTAAATGGTGCTCCTAGTAACAAGTCCAAACTCTCATCTAGGAAGTACTGCTTATATAAATTATGTTACAGATTAGGGGCAAATCTTCAGGTCAGTATATCCCATATCTCTATGTGTATATTTTAAAAATTTCATTGAGATTTTAATTTACATACAATAAAATGTTCCCATTTTTACTGTATAGTTTACCATTTTGACTTACGTAAGCGGCAACATAACCAGCACCACATTCAAGATCTAAAACATTTCCATCACCTGAAAAAATTCCCGTGTGCCCCTTTAGTCACATCTCCCCAAATCCTTACTTCAGGTAACCACTGACTTGATTTCAGTCACAATGAATTAGTTTTGCCTATCAAATCATGCAGTAGGTATTTTTGTGTCTTGCTTCTTTTGCTCAGCCTGTTTTCGGGAATTGTCCATTTTGTTACATGCGGCAATGATTTGTTCCTTTTACTTGCTGAGAAGTCATTTTTAAATGTTTAAAAATAGATAAATACACAATTCATCTATTTAATTGTTGAAGGTTTGAGGTTATTTCTAGTTTGAGGCGATTACAAGTGAAGCTGCTATGAACATTTATGTACAATGTATATTTGTAGACAGACATTTTCATTTATCTTTGGTGAACACTCAGGAGCAGAATTTCTGGGTCATATGTTAAGTGTATGTTTAACTCTATAACAAAGTGCCAAACTGTTTTCCATAGTGCTTATAGCATTTTATAGTCCCAGAGCTAATGTGTAAGAGTTTCAGTTGCTCCACACACTTGGCAACACTTGATATTGTCAGGGTTTGTTGTTGTTGTTCTTGTTGTTTTTAAGTTTGACAGTTGGCAATTGTGTAGTGGTGTTTCATTATGACTGAGTTTTCCTTTCTATGGAAAATATATTGCGCATATTTTCATGTGCTTATTTTTTATTCATATATCTTCTTATGTGAATTGTCTGTTCAAATGTTTTGTTCATTTCAAGATGGGTTGTTAGAATTATGTTGTAACAATTCTTCATATAACCCAAATGAAGCCCAAACATAACCCAGACAAAACCCCAAATTCTTTGTCAGATTTATGAATGGCAAATGTTTCTCCCAGTCTATGGCTTGTCTTTTCATTTACACTTAATGGTGTTTTTAAATTTGATGAAGCCATTATGAATTGAATTGCATTCCCCCACCTCCCCCCAAAAGAGATACCCTGAAGTTCTAACCCTAGTGCCTCAGAATGTGACCCTATTTGGAAATAGGGTCTTTACAAGTTTACCAAGATCGGATGAGGTCATTAAGGTGGGCCCTAATCCGATATGTTGGTGTCCCTATAAAAAGGGAAAATTTGACACAAAGACAGCACATATGGAGAAGTCCATGTGATAATGAAGGCAGGAATCAGGGTGATACATCTGCAAGCCAAGAAACACTAAAGCCCGCCAGCCAACCACGAGAAGCTAATGGATTTGCATCAGGCAGGTTCTCCCTCACAGCCCTCAAAAGGAACCAACCCTACCTTCCCTCGATCATGGACATCTAGCCTCCAGAACTACAAGGAAATACATTTCTGTTGTTTAAGCCATGCCATTTGTAGTACTTTGTTACAGCATCTGTGAGAAAATAATACAAAGCCAAACGTATTCATGTTTTCTTCTTTTATGGTAAGGGCCTTTGATGTCCTAGCAAAACTTTCTCTATCTCAAGGTTACCAAGATGTGTTCCTATGTTTTCCTCTAGATCTAGGTTATTTTTACATCATGCACAGGCATACTCCACACATTCTCCTATTTCACTGAAATTCATGTGTGTATTTTCTGATGCTTGAGGGAGCATTTGTTTCTTGTATAATTTCCAGAATTAATCATAGTTTCTAGGAATGTATAAATATACCAAGTGACTCTGTGCCCATCTCTTCAAGTTCAACTTGGAGTAAGTTTTAGTTCCAAAGGGATAGGGCCCACTGTTCTTTTGGTTCCCTTCCTACAAAGGTGGAGACGATTATCACTGACGTTTAATGCCAACCACTGAGTGCCCAATACATGCATGCTAGGTGTACTTCACCTTTTCCATCATCTTTCTTCCACTCAGGTGGACTATTGATGTATAGGTCAAATAGGTGTGGCTCTGGGGAAATGGTCTGAAAGTACTGAGTGAGGAGATCTTTTTTCTCAAGGATGCACAGTAACACCAACATTTACAATGGGCATTCTAGCCTTCTAGCACTCTTCTTAAAGAAAGGGCAAATGACCAACTGACCCATGCATCTCCACCTTGAGAAATTAGTATCTTTGAAGTAATGGCACCTCTGTTCTTCCTGGTTGGGAAAACAGAAGTTTTCTATGGTTATAAAAAGGACTGAGAAAATAATTCAGTACATTTTCTCTTTATAAATCCTTTTTTTTTTTGGAATGGAATGCTCAGTGACTGATGCATGTGGCCTATTTGCTTTTACATTACTATGTTACAAATACAGCATTGCTTTCTGATTCCCAAAGTTTTGTTGTGCTTTAGAACAAATTCTTCAATAGAATAATAGAATACCTCTGAAAAATTCCCAAAGGTGAAGGCCTTACCCTTGACTGACAGGTGTCTCCATGTCACAGTTGGCTCTGGTCTGCCAATAGCAAGACACAGCAGGGTCACACTGCTTCCCTCATTCACAGTGATGTCTGAGGAGATATTCATGATCTGGGGAGGAACTGTAAAGAAACAAAGGAGAAAAGAAATACATGAGAATGATTCTTTGCACTCAAACGGAGGTATTAGTCTATAAATATTTGCATAGCATGCTTTTATGATAAGTATTATTCTCAATAATAATGTTCAGATTGCTTGATTTGACAACGAGGTGGCCATTAACACTGTGCACTGCTAGGCTCAACCCCGGCTCTCCGTGGAACATGGCAAAAGCAGAAGCACTTCCATTGCTTTGTTTTCCTCTTCTTTTCTTCATTTCCTACCTGAAAAGATATGACTCATCACTCAAGGGACCTCAAAGATCACCTCCCCTCTGCAGTTTTCCCTCACTTCTCCCCAGATCCTGAGAAGAGAATCACCTCTCTCTCCTACTCTATTTGTCCGAACTTTCCACGCAGATACCACTGAGCATGAGGTATCACGGCAGATTTTTTCATGCCTGTCTTTTTACCTAGAGTTAGTTGCTCGAGGATAAGGGTGGAGTCACATGCATCTCTATTTCCTCAGTGTCTAGCACAAGGCTGACAAGGGTCCTGCTTAATTCCTCTTTGAAAGAAAGATCCAAAGAACGGATGGAACAGACCCAAAAAACTACGGGGTGGGATTGGGGGCAGGAGGTCAAAGCTTTTAACGGAGGATTTCAAATACCTAAACCTTTCTTCTCTGTTATGTTTCAGATTCTCTGAAGGATGGCAAGAGAGGAGACTCTGAGCCTACGGCTATGCTGATTTATTCAAACTGCCAGTTTAATTATGAATTATTAATTACCAAACAGGTAGAGTACTGGTAGGTTCCGAACCACCCAGAGTCAGTGGCAAAGGAGAATTATGGCTGATGCTTGATTCAGACAACTCTGCAGCCGGGAGTTTTATGCTGCTGAGACCTTAGAGGTAAGTCTTTTCAAGAAGAAGCCATAAGTAACATGTAGAACATTTGACTTCTTAAGGGAATCCATATTAGCAAATAAATAAAAATTGCCTAGCTTATAAATCTGCCATATTTTGGATTATTTCTGCATTAGGATTTGGCCTGAAATTTCATTGCACATATTTTACCCAAATACACACTGGGAAAAAACAGTGTGCATTCTAACTACACTGCATTCTCATGAGAAAACTGTACTACTTGTTTTTCAGTATTTTCTAGCTTGTTAAAAAATAGTTCTGGGCTTAGAAATGTTGATACTTTTTTCACTTTTATAAAGCAACAACTTCAGTGCATCTTCCACAATATTCTCAGAATAATGTCTGCTTTAGCTGGATATGTTGGCCCTCTGAAGTTCTTTCTCTAGACCCAGGAGTCTCCCTGGTGCTGGTGTTAGGGTAGACATAGCTCGGGGGAGGGGGTTGTACAGTCAGGTTAGTAGAGGATAATTTAGTACATGTGATGCCCAGGGACAGATCTCCCAACACAACCCCCAGTTCAGAATCATCAGTTCTGTACATGCTGTGTTGCATCTGATAGTTCAAGGGGTCCTGGCTTAATATATATTTGTAAAATTCCATGGATATTTAGCATGACCTCTTCATTCTCCAGGTGCTCAGTCAATGTCACCCATTAGGGGGCAGGTTCCTGGAGTGGAATTGCAGAGTTACTCCACACATTCCCACCAAGCCCCATGCAGTGCTGACTGCCCCCCTGGCTCTTCCAGAAGGACCCTGCTACTTTCTCAAAGGAGGAAAGATAAGTATAGCATCAAGGGTGTGGATACCAGGAAGAAAGGAAGCACAGCGAGTAAACTGAGAGAAAGAAAAGTTCTTTCTTTTCTCAATTATGATATCCTTATTATTAATATGTACGATGCACTAATGTATATTAATACATAATGCTTGTTTTCAAATTGCTTGCACATATATTATCTTATGGTTTCTTCACAAATTATGAAATAAATAAAACAAATATTCTCACTATGAAAAATGAAAAAAAAAAATTGAGGCAAGGGGAGGGTTAAGTAAATTCCCCAAAAGGACATGGCCAGTAAATGGCAGAATTCTTTCCATCAGGTTAAGCTGCTTCTTTGTTTTAACATCTTATCAAGGCCCGGAACACAGTATTTATGTTTGCATATTCTGTTTCCTCTGCTTTGAATGATCTCCCAGTGTTTCTTCGCTCACAGCACTTAACCACAATGAAGGAAACCACCTCATTCCAGTTGCTTCCCCAGCACAATGCACACCACTGAGGGAGGAGCCCATCTTCGGAGTCTTTGTTTCTCCAGGGCATGCTACTCACCAAAGGCGGCTCTCAAGGCTTCTAATTTAATTTTAAATCTGAATTGAATTTGGCAATACTCTTACGGCCCTCCCTTTGTTAGCATGACAATTTTTTGAAGAAAGGAGCACTTGAAAATAAATAAATGCTTCTACATATTTTGACAGGAGACCTTGGTTCCATTTGCAGATAACTTATCTGTGGCAAATGAATCTAAGTATCTATGAATCTATGTGTCAATCTATGTATCTATGTATCTCTCTACCCATATGGTTATACAGGTAAACACAAAAATGTACAATCCAAATACTTATCCAAAGTATCAAAATTACTGCCAGAAAATGATAGGACTCACACAAGTCTAAAAGATGACAAATAGCACAGTGTGTTTTAGTCACATCTGCAGACACAAGGGGTCCCCAGCCCTGCCAATAATTCATGCATCGGTTCTCTTCATTGATGGTGGTGGGATACAACCCTTCATATGGTTCTGCAGATTGTTCAGTGCACAACTACGAGCACTTCAAATTGTGGTCCTTTAAGATAAATAGATTAAAAAATCGTTCAATAGATATAGACATATAAATGTATATATAGACATAAATAAAATATTGTCTGCCACTCTATGTATATATGCATATATATATACACACACACAGAGACATATATACATAGACATACATGTATATATAAAGAGAGAGATAATATTTTATCAGATAGCAATCAGAGGAAGAGGCAGATTTCCGAAGTATCTTAGAGTTCTGGGTTACCACGAGGTATTTATATTTATACATTCTCTCTTTACCCTTAGCATGGCCAGCAGCTCTTAAACACAAAATATTCTCGAACCTGCCCCATCCTCTCCAATCACACTGCCATTGGGTTAGTTGAGAAGCTTATTGTCTCTCGCTTGGAATATGACAAAAGTCTCTTCATTTCTCAACCTGCCACCATTTTATAATTCCAAACCCTATACACCTACCACAATCACCTCTTAAATATTTTTCTTCTGACTAACACCCCCAATATCTGCCCCTGGCTAAGACTGGAAAGTCCAAACTTCTCAGCAGGATTTACAAAACCATTTGTAGTCTGGCCATAACCTAACTACTAGCCCCTTCTCTAACAGGTGGCCCCCACACACTTCTCTGAGGCTACATCGTTCTCTCATCTTTGTGCCTTTTACACATACTATTCCTTCTGCTGGGAAAGTGCTTTCCCACTTCTGTGCCGCATGAAATCCTCATCCTTCACTCAACTCAACTCAGCTCAACCAGGAACTCCTTTATGATGCCTTAGTTGCTCTCTCTTCTGTTCCCAAGGCATTCTTGTTTATGTCTTTATCATGCAATTTATCTTTGCAACTAAGCTATTCCATGGAAGGGATCTGCTATATTTATCCTCCTATTCCTATTATATAAAACCAAAACCTGATATGTAGTAACATCCTTTTCCCCACTTAATGTAATATATGAATGCATAGGTTTTTAAATTGGGTATCTTATAATCTGTCAAGTGTTTTCTATCCTAGAGATCTGACATTCAACTTTTCCTCTCCCTGAAATACCCCCCACCTTCATAGTATGTATTTTTTTTTCCCATCGGGGCTCAGTTTTGACGTTAGCTCCTCAGAGAAGTCTTTGTTAGGACCCTAATCCTGCCCCCAGCCCATCTAATTCAGGTCCTTCTGTTCCAATGTCTTCTCAACCTTAAATATTCCTTAATGATTCTTATATAGCTTTGTGTTTTTATATACATTTCTATGATTATTTGTTTAAAGTCTTTCTGGTCCTAAACTATAGGCTTTTATAAACCACTATATCCCCAGTACTTAGAACTATGCTTAGCACATAATGGGTGTTTAATAAAATTTTGTGGAGTAAATAAATGGTTACTATATATACAGTTGAGCCATGAACAACACAGGTTTGAACTAAATGGGTTCATTAATATGCATTTTTTTACAGTACAGTACTATACATGTATTTTCTCTCCCTTTGATTCTTAGTAACATTTTTTTTCTCTAGCTTAATTTATTATAACAATACAGTATAAAATGCATGTAACATATAAAATATGTGTTACCAGTTGTTATGTTATTAACAAGATTTCTGATCAACAGTAGGCTCTTAGTAGTTACGGTTTTGGAGAGTTGCAAGTTATATGTGGATTTTCAACTGCATGGGGGGTTGAAACCCCTATCCCCCATGTTCAAGGGTCAATTACAGTTTCTTATACATGTTATTATGCATTTGTGAGGAAACAAACCTGAGTAAATTAGGGATTGAAACATGTGATTCTGTACATATTAACACCATCCTCCATAAAGTTGATATGATATAGTTGGAATAGCATATGAGAAGGCCATGTACCATAGCCTAGGTTCTGGGGTCCAACATACCTGTGTAACCTTAGACAATCTTGGCTTAACTCCTCTGAGCCCCTAGTTCTTCACATCTGTAACATGAAGAGAACAATTCTCTTTCTAGCTACTTATTAGAATTAAGTGGAAATGTGTAGAATATACTAGCACAGTGCCTGGAAATGAATACTTAATAAATGTTAGTTGCTATTATTCATTTTTATATATTCATTTTTGATATTATTCATGCTATTTAGAATCATGCTATTTAGCTTAGTCTGTTCCTAATTGCTCATTTTCTAAATCTCAGTTCCTTCAAAGTTAAGTCTGGACTTATATATAGACGATGTTCTCCTTTGATAACTGGGAAGCCTGCATTATATATGCTTCCAGGATAAAAAGTAAATATTCAATAAATTTGAACTTCTT